CAAACTGAGGATACTTGTCTTCCTTAATTGCCGTTCGAATCTGTTGCATTAGTCTTAATTGATACGCCAAGTTGTGGAGCGTAATCAAATGACAGCCTACAGTTTCACGCGTGGCAAGGAGATGCACATAAGCTCGCGTGTACGATTTGCATGTGAGACAGTCACAATCAGATTCGATTGGATTGAAATCGGTTGCAAATCGGGCCTTTTTCAGGCTTAGTGTACCTTGAGCAGTCAACGCGTTACCAAAACGCTATAACAAAAAATGGATCACCACCCAGTATCGATTAGCGCAAGTTGATGAAAATTGATGCGGTAAAATAGAACAAGTAACCAACTAATGAATTCAGATTATTACTCACAGCTGTTCGAGTCGGGTACACACAATCATACATATCAACTCCTAACGCGCAACAGACAACAATGTCTTCTGCATAACCTACGCCCATGCAATACCTCGGTTTGTCTTTAGGAAGTGCATCTGTGCATTGGGTAACTCTTATTGCATATGAGTATACATGAATATCTTGTTGTCAAAGGGAAAACGCGAACAAATACAAATAGCCATACGCGTTTACTCACATTCTCCAGAAGACGTTCTTCTCCTCACCGCCACTCAGTCCACCAATTGCATAACCAGGAGTATCCCTTTTTATCATCTCTGCAAATACCAAATTTCTCAATATTTTTCAATCTTCACAAACAGTTCATCTTACCCATTCACCTCACCTTTCAGACATGTATTCCTCAATTCCGCGTCCAACCCCCCTTGTATGATCGCGAATAGATTCTGATCATGTGGTCTCTTGTGAGCCTTTATACATCGATCCAACCATCTGATTGATCTCCACATTGCTTCCTCGACTCTCGGTCCAGTAGTAAGTGACGATACAACGTCGTCAAGTTGCATTATGATGTCTGCACCAATGCTGTTTTGTAATTCTATGGAGTGTTCGGGTGTGAGCAGTATAGACGAGTTGGGATCATGTGGCGATTGAAATTGTACGCCTTGCTCGGTAATTTCAGCAAGCGTCAGAAGAGAGACCATTTGAAATCCACCAGAATCCTAATCGACAGTGAGATGATCGAGATATAAAGCTTTGCTTCACCGCGCTATTGTTGTTGCATTGACTCACCTACCGTAAGAAGATTCCTTTCCCATGATTGCAGTTTATGCGCACCCCCAACCTCATTTAATAATGCTTGTCCCGGTCGCAATCCCTGGAATGACAACCAAATGAACACCTTCCTGACTATGTTAAGATCACTTTTGAACAATTACCAAATGATACGTGTTGTTTAACATGATCTGACATCCCAAATTCATTAATTGCTGACATGTAATGCCTTTTAAAGATGCTTGAGTAGCAACAGGCATAAATACTGGTGTATCCACTGTTCCATGGGGCAGTATAAGCTTAGAAACCCTAGCCTTCGTAGTGGTGCAATTGGCTACAGTTTCCCACAGCAAAGCCGACTTCATTGTGGGCGTAGTCACATGGAGATGAACGTAACGGGAACGAGCGCCACAGATTTGTCCTACTTGTAAGAAAATTTTTTGGTCAAAAAACCCGTGTTTTTTTCTAATGTAAGCGAAATACCAACAATTTTTGCAGACAGCAGGAAAAATGAACTCCCATAACTTTGGAGATTGGTTATAATCACGAGCGTATTATCGAATGCATAACTATTCACAAATCAAATAATAATCCACTCCTCACTTACACACTTAATCAGGTTTTGATTTACTATAAAATACTATCAGTACATGGTCTACATTACAACTCTCTTGTAATACCTTCGACGGAAGGGTCCTTCAAGTCTCGAAGCGAAATGTGGGAATCATCCGATATTGTATCCTCGATCGCTCTTACAACGCGAAATAAGTCGATTTTATCCAACTTACTCATATAATATTAAGAAACGCGGTAATGTAGCCTAAGAAATGACGAAAATTAAACAACGGGCTGATACCGAACTTAACAAAGATGCTGCTTGCTTACCTCATTTCTATCTACAATTATAATTTGATTTGGAGAGTTATATATAACATCCACCATAAACATAACTAATATTCCACCATTTCCCGAATAACCACGAGATATCGAAGACGAATTTGCAAACCACATTCGGGTTCCTCCGCATCGTCCTAATTCACCCTTATTCCCTTCTCTCATTATTCCACATAAGCCGCACATAGCGTTTTCACAACGCCTCCCGCCATTTATAAGGTTGAACGGATCGCAAGCCTTCTGCGTACCATGGTACATCTTCTGCGTTATTTGAGCAGGTGTTGTATTCCACTCTGAAGCCATGCGTTCTTTATACGCAATGTGACGGTCAACAATATATTGAGGCATTTGCAACCGTATAATGGCTCGTATAGTTGCTTGCGGTAATCCTTCAAGGAACCTCTTCTTAGCAGCAATATAAGCAACATCGCTTTCATCGAGAAGTGTGCTGATCGCCCAATGTTTTTTATCGGGAATATCCAAATCGGAAAGAGGTTCAGTGAGATTTTGTGAAACTTGTGCAAGTTTTGACATGACTGTTCCGGTTGGTTTGCGTTCGGTTTCGACCGTAGACGAAAGATTAGGGATTGTAATGATTGGTGAATTGCGCATTGCAGAGTTCTTGTCATCGTTGACATTCAAATTTTCATTATTATTATGGGGAGTTGTCTTATGGATAGATATAGTGCTAGTGACAGCTTTAATGGAATCGCCATCTAAGATGTAGCGTATTTCTTGTTCTTCGGCCTTTTCACGACTATTGATTTCAGTTATTGCTGCATCGATAGAAACAGATGCAGATTCAAGTAACGAGCGGAGTCTAGACATTGTAACGCCGATAAGGTATTGTTTTCGTACCACTGTTGAATATCAAACAGTGTTGGTCACAAGACCACAAACACTGCACACTAACGTTTTTTCTGGAAAGATCATCATCCGTTTTTAGAAAGCGCGATAAGCTGTCATTTGTTCAGTATCCTCGGTTCACACGCTTAATATCTCGCCTTCCAGTATCCTCTAACCTGGGCAAATTCTCTTCATAAATTAGCTGCTTAGCAGCAAATTATTACATTCATAAGAATCCAAACTAAACATTAACTACCAATAAGAAAGACATTTTATAGATTTTCACGCAATTAATTAGCTTTCCTCTCTTTCCATCCTCATATACATTACATACCCATCAACAGAATGAAGTTTCTTGAAATACCGGCACTCGATGTCATAAACACTGCATTAGTGTTTGACACACCTGAATGTAAAGTGTTCGGGCGAATCGAAACTTACTCATGTAAGTCGTGAGGAAAGAGGAGACTCTGATATACAAACGAGCATCAATAAATTACTATCGAACAGTAGTCATAAGACTGGTCTCGTTCGAACAGGCAAAGTAGCCGGAGCAGATAAGAAACTGTACAAACATTTGGAGAATAGATACCAAGAAGATCTTTCTAATTCGCCTGAGTATATACAGCAGGCTGTATCTCCATTCGGTCCGATGAACCAACCATCGTCGAGGAAGACATTGTTCAATCTGATTGCGACTTTGAATGCATCGTATCCTGATTATGATTTTTCGTGAGTGATTATGTTGTGGATATGCGTCTGTGGTAAAGAGTAGTGTAGCGACGAGAAAAAGGGGATATGAGAACTCGTTTTATAACATATATCTGAAGTACTGATTTTGTATGCTTAGTGATGTGAAACCTGAACAGTTTACAAAGCACCCATCCTTGTCGCATGTATGCAATTATGTAAACAATACGCTTTTTAACCTCGGGCACGGATGGATAGTGACTGGTTTGAATCTATGGCAAGTCACAGATGACATCATCGAACTGGATGAGTGCGATGTCTATTCGTACAACCCTGACATGGATTCGGATCCAAACATTGAAGAAGGTGCCATGTGAGTGCACTAATAAAGTGGTTTAAGTAACTCATATCGATAATCAATAATATCTATATAATCATAAAAATTTAGTAATTTCTGATTAAACTAATAGTTGCTTCTTTTTTGTCCAATAATCGTATCCAAATACTCTCGTTTTCAGATGGTCGTTTAATTATTTCTTTTTTAACAAAAAACTAAGACGAATTTTATTTTTCACTGTTCGGGGAATAAGGTAAGTTGACTCTGATGGCAGTTTATTCGTGAAAGTAGTTGGGTTCATTCAAATCTCAACGAGTTTCGATCAGTTTAAATGCCCCAATGCAAGAAGATGAAGAAATCGA